ACCATATATATTTTTAATTCATTAGAAATGTAAATAAAATAAAATAAATCAAAACCTTTTTGTTTTTGTATATTATTTTAACGTATAACTGTATAAGTTTTATATAATCAACATCTACGTATTTTAATATTTTATTATGGCTTTAAACTTTTAAACGTTATTTTTAAATACATAAAATAACGTAGGTATTTATATTATTATATACATATTATATTTAACTAAAATAAAAATGTTCGTATGTAAGACATACATACATAGATTAATGTTAAACATGGACTTTTTTTTTTAAGAAGGAATAGTATATATTCATTTTTATGTTGTTATAGCCATAAAATGAAAAAAAGTGTTAAACATTCATGCTCCGAAAAAAATATTGTAGGTATATTATTGAATTTAAGAACCGTGAGAAACAAGTCAATCACTTAATGCTATTTATGGATTCTTGTCAGCTATTGAGCTATATGTGGTAATCGAATTCATTAAATAATACATTTTATTAATACATGTATACTATATATATTATATAGGATATAAAACTCTGTTCCCGTGGACTCAATTACAATGCGTCCTATATGAAGTCAAACGAGGTATCTACCTATACATTTATATCCATTTTTCATCGAATCTTTTCTTTTTTTACGTTATTTTTCTTTTATAAATATATTTAATCCATTAATCTTTATAGACATCCTTTCCTTTCTTAAAACTCAATGATACCCAAGTACTCAACATACAACACGCTTCTATATATTTATATATAAATGAAACATTTAAATTTTAAAGTATCTTACTATAATATTAAATATTAATAATTCCATTTTCATTGTCACTATTCCATTAGTCGTTATAGTCATAACTCATAAGTCATAAGTCATTACTGTAATTAGTAATAAACTTCAGTTATCTATATGCTTATTGCTTACAAATATTATACATACATATAGACGATACAATGTATACTCATTTATGTTAAATATATATAATATTATATTTATTTAAATACCTATAGTTAACATCGGCTTCTTTTTAAATTTTGATAATATTCGATATCTTAGCTACACACACAAATTATATATACGTCATATTAGATAATAATATACCATTGAAAATTAATATATGTACCTAATACCTATGTATAACTATTCAGTGTGAACGGTATGTCGTTATTGCTATATATATTTATATTATATACAATGTTTATTACGTATATTATATTATAATAAAAAAAAAAAAAAAATTAATGAAACATTTTTTCTCAATGAAACTCGACACCACTCTATTTCGACTTATTATGATAGAGTTTGAATTTCATTTCACGTCAACGCAGCAGCTATACACGTAAACGCAATAACGCATAGTACGTACGTACGTGCGTGTGCTTGGCGAATATATACGTATAATTAATATAATATGTCGCGCACAGACATACATACCGCAAGAGTCACGAGAATTGCGACACGTTTTAACGTCTCAAATACGACTGCGGGAAGGGTGGTGAATTTGAGGACGACGCGCGACTGCGGTTTATCACTCGTTTTTTCAATCAATGCGCGGTATCAATAAGTCGTAGTCGCAGCGCATATATAGGTACATGTTAGGCACATGTTGTTATTATTATTATTATTATTGATTACCGGGTGGAAAAATAATGATAAAAAAAATAAATATAAAAATAAAAATAAAATACCAAACGTCCGTGATGGCACGCACGAAGCGAGATGGATAATATTGTTTTGTGCATTACGTACACGTGATACGCGACAACGGACGCGATTATATTATATTGCCAAGAGATCCGTATCTGCTGCATGCGCGCCGCAGCATCGCCGCCACCGCCGCCGCGGTCGCTCTGCGCCGTGCAACCCCGTGTGCACTTGTGCATGCGTAACGCGTGTGTGTGGGTATATCATACGCGTGTACGTTACACGCATACACGCACACACACACGACGGTCGGACAGGAGAGATGACACGCGGATCCCCGCGTGTCTAGACCGCGTCGTCGTCCCCTGCTGCTGCTGCTGCTGCTGCGCCAGCCGGCGGCACAGGTGCGCGGCGCGTTGGTGACGCACATAAACGCCAAATACGCGATGGCGAAATAACGAGACCGGACAGCCGTGAACGCGCCGGCGGCGGCGGCCGGGCGACGACCGACGGAAAATATCACATTATATTATTATCAATAAAATAATATTATGTGCGTACCTATATACGCGTCGCTCATAGGTACCTACCTAAATTATTATTATTATTATTATATTATGCTCGTATAATAATAATAATATTTAAACGCACCCGGACCGGCGTGTCGTGCGGCGGCGGTGGTGGCGGGGTATATTATATTATGTACGATATAATATTATAACGCGATGCGACGCCGCCGCCGCCGCCGCCGCCGCCGACGTGCAGCGTGCGGCGGACAGAGACGGAACGAAGAACGTGTACGCAGGCACAGACAAATGAACAAACAACGCGTAATAACAATGTTATCGGCTTGTCGGTTCGCATTGTTGACTAGACACAAACATGGGCACGAGCCCGAATATTTTATTACACGCGTATATATATATATATATATACGCGCGCACGCGCTCGCGTGTGTGTGTGTGTATAAAACGTAATAATATTATAATATTATGATATTATACGAAAGGTACGGCGTGCAGTATTATATTATTATATTTAATATTATTACGAGCGTTGGTGCGCGATCGAGAAAAAACACAAAAAAAAAAAAAAAACAAAAGAAAATAAAGAATTATCCAATCATATCGGACGAGGTGTGGGCGAGGGGACGGTTTTTCTGCTGTCCGTTGCGAATTACGCGATATTTTTTTTCACCCAAATTTTCGACGAACAATAGAGCGCTTATCTTTCGTTTTCGTGTCGATCGTCACGCGTTTGATAAGCGTTTGAAAAACGCGAGCGCCGTACTCGCAAAGCGCAATACAATATCGTATTATTATTATTATTATTATTATTATTGTGATAATTATAATTATTTTAATAAAATAATATCACAATATTATTATTCATTACTCTATGCGCGCGCGTTCGTGCTTCTGCTAAATCGTTTCGAAAACAATGCGGCGTGCCCCCTCGACACGACCGCCTCCTCCACACGCAGCGACGACATCCAACGATCGAATTACACGCGTGTTACAATAATTATATATCTATATACGATAACCGCGGTATCGTTATGATATATACCTTTCTCCTGGTCGTCGCCCACGTCCGACGGGCTGCCGAAAATCGTGTGCCGGCATAAAAAAAAAAAAATAAAAATAAAAATATGTGATATCAAATATTTTACAACACACGATATCGTGGCGTGTACGGGTACACTACACGCCGTAGCCGTTTCCGACCGTCCGAATCGATAATATTACATGGACTACAAACAATAATACAGGTAACGTCATGTAATACGCGCTGCGCAGCAGACGACGGCTAGACGGACGGGCGTCGCGATAGTCGTCGACGATGACGACGAGAAAAAAAAAAAAATAAAAAACCACTCGCGTTCGGTGCACAATGCGTACGGCGGCGTAGGTACTGTTGCTGCACGTCGTAGTCGATCTGTGCATACGAATGACATAACAGCTCGTGAATAATAATGTGCAGGTCTCGAAGAGCGTGTAATAATAATGATGATGATAATAATAATAATAATAATATGTGTGTTACGGATGTTTATTTTGCGCGACGCTGAAAACGTTTTAGTGAAAACGAACAAAATGAATTATCGCGATATCACTCCGTCGTCTACTGCCAGTATATTATTTTCAAGTCGAAAGATTAATAATTATTTTATTCTCATATATTTTATACTATAATGCGCTCTGCCCCGATAGTACGGTGTTTAATAATTTATAACGATAGTGTAATTTACAGCGATAGATATACGTGCACGTAACACCGCACGTATTAAAATTATATACCTACACTGCAGTATTTATACGTTATACGGTCGGTCATACGTCAATATTATCGTCGTATTATACGGATATACGATAGGTGTATAGGCATGCCTTATACTTATATTTTATTATTCAATATCTAGGCATATAGAATTTCTCTAAGTTTATCGTAAAATATTTACGTATATACGTAGGTATATGTTATACATAAATAAACGAAGGATTTCGTTACTCGTGTTATTTCTTTATGGCCGGTGCACTCGACGGCGTTATCGTTCGGGGCCGATAATGTGTCATTCCGTCGTTATGATAATAGCGCGTTGCATACACACATTATATAATATAATAATATCATGTATAAATCTTGTATCGAGAACAGCGAGACGTGTGCAGCGGTGCTCGAGGAATCCTATAATGGCCAATATTATAGTATTATGCGAAGAACCCCCGATGTGGCGACGAGTTGTCACCCAAAACGCGGGGGTGCAATCTCAGCTGACAAATTTGGGTCAAGGTAATAGTTGACACTCGGCGCAGGCGGGTGGCTCGTACCTATGGGCACTTAAATGTACATCATTCGTACAAGGTCACGGTGCCGATTATAGGATTTTCGTGAAAAATAAAGAATAAAAAAACGCATAGAGTATAGACGAAAAGGAATTCTATACCGATTAACGGGCGACCGAAGAGATGACAGCACTCTACTTGTGTATTATATAATGTGTTATATTTTATGAATATAAAATAATTCTAAGCTTGCGTCGACCGGAAGTGTTTGAATACAAAACATGCACGTTTCACACGTGGACTTTATGAAGTAGATACTTACCTGAAATATCACTTCGAGATCAAATTGAATCGATTAAATAAGTAATACATATCATACTATATATTATAACAGTTTAGAATGATGAATAAATATATTTTATTATAGTTTACACAAAACTGCGCTGATGAAGTAAAAGTCTTGGGGGGGGGGGGTAAGTGCGGTAAGTGCTAAGTGTGTGTATATTATAATATAAAAATCGTCGTATTACATGTTAAATGTAATGGAGTGATAATAAAGCGTAAATCTTACCTGAGTCATCAGTCGATCGGCTCCAGTGCCCTCGTCGTCTTTGAACTCGATGTCTGCGTTGTAGTTGGGTACTAGCTCCATGAACCTGGAGTCGTTGCGCTGGACTCGACCCTCTGGTGGTCCGCTGGCGGTGATTGAGTACTCGCTGACGTTGGGCTCGTGTTGCTGAAACACCAGCGGTTTCATCTTTCGCGGGTTCCGGAACTTGGACGGGCCGCGCAATGGGCCGCAGCCCTCCACGTCGACAGCCATCATCATGCACACAATTAGCGTTAACGTGTACCTCCACCGATATCTGGACGCCACCGCAACAACGCCACCGCCGTCGCCGCCGTTCCTCATATCCGGCTGCCAGACACCGCATTACCGCGGCCTTTACTCATACAGCAATCGGTTGCTACACGTCATTTAGAGATTCGTACGTAAAAAAAACAAACAACGAATAGTTTTTATATACATGAGCATCGTTATAGCAACTACTTAAGTTTAAATAAAAAAAAAAAAAAAAGAAGTCAGAGATCATATATAAACCCGCTGCAGTTGATGTTATTTAATATTAAATTTATAAGCAATAGTAAATCATAAATTTAAATAAATAAATAATTATTTTAGGTAGATTTTAAATTACACACTCCTGAAAATTTATCGAAGTGATATATTAAGTCCGTAGTTTTTTCTTTCGCTATAATAGAAACTATTGCAAGATCACTGGAACATAAAGTCTTCTAAAAGAAATACACTAAAATTAATAGATAAGATTTTTGGAGTACCTACTTCGATTCACGTCAATTCGAAATAGTATACATACGGCAAAAAATAATAATATTATCTAGAAATAATACTATAATTATTGCTATATTATCTTGTCTTATTAAGATGAATGAAGTTAGATGAGTGCGTAATTTATAAAAATAACTGATTGGGCTCCTCTTAATATTTTGAATTTGAAATTATTAAACAATTTTCTAACACCATTTATGTACATAAACAAAGTATAATATAATTTTGTAGTATAAAAAACAATAGTTTATATATGATAATAAAAATATTGAATAATCTGTTAATATATTTTATACTGGCTTATAACTGTATGTACTTAATGTTTTATCAATTTTTCAAATATTTTTAAGAGAATTAAATGATGTTACAAATATCATAAATAAATATTTATTATAATTCTACAGATATAATTTCATTTTTTAAATTAAAAAGTCAAAAATATTAAAAGTTAAGCAGACTGGGTTTTTTTTTTTAATTTGAATATTAAAATTGATGAAATTTTATATAATACTACATGAAAAATGTATAGGTTACAATACTTTAAATTCACCAAAATATTACTATTTTTTTAGAAAAAATATGAATATTATTTACATCGAATTTGTTTTATTAAATAATAAATCAGGATCACCATAATCGTATAAGTTATTATTTTAGTTTATTAAACTGCAACCAAGTATATTATATAATGCATTACATTTATAATACTACAATTAAAATTTAACATTATTTTATTTTATTCAAAAATATTCTTTCAATTATGTATACCAGATATAACCAGTTACGCTCACGTATAAATATACGTATATAATTGATTGCTATACGTGTATAAGATATACTTTATTATTTTATGTACCTAGGTAAAAAGTAAACTTAACCAACACATGTATGAAATAATATTAATGAACCTATCAACAATTATTACAGATCATGTTTTTTTACTATAAAAATATTCCAACTAAAAGATAAGATAAATGGTAACATTTCGACCCTGACTACCTAAATGATTTAGGCCATATCATATGATATTATATGTAAAAGATTAAATAAAAGAATCTGTAACGGGATTTTACCAAGAACTGTATCCACAATAAAAAAAAAAAAAAACTGTTCCCGCTGAGAAAGGTTTTTTTATCATCTATTTTATGGATATGCAGACCTGCAAATATAGGTACCTATAAAGAATCGTTTGCATTAGGCATCTGTTAGGTTAGGTATAATTGTATAAATTATATATGATTTTGTGATTTTGTGATCTCAAATCTCTTTTTATGTCTAGACACTAGAAACACTGCGATATATGCGAAGTACCTACGTATGTATTTATAAGAATTCCTCTGTACCAAAAATAAAACTGAAATTATTTGATCATATTAAGAAATCATAAGCTTATTATTGTATCATTATTATTAATTATTGTGATCTGTCATACAAATTAGCGAATGTATATAATTAATTTATAATTATATGAAAAAATAATTAATCTTGTTTAATGGAAATTGATGATGAAAAATAATTTATATTCACTATTATATAGAGTATTAAACTACTGTTGAGTATATTAATTTTATCATATTAATTAAAAAATGATAACATATTTTATGAATCACATATCTTTTAATTTGAACTAATTTAGTTTATGACTAATTTATTAAATCAAATTTTTTTCAACATTCAAAATTCGTTATACTTTATTTGATTAACTTTTATAGTATAATTTATTGTTATATTGAATAAAAAATAATAATTTACAATTTTAATGATTTTTTTTTTTAATTGTATTTAACTTTTTTTTTCAATAAATTACATAGAATATTAAATAAATTTTATCATTTTGGTATACAATACTATTGCATTTAAATAATTCACTTACCTTGTGAATGCCGATTATTGATATTTTGTAAATATCAAGTAGGAAAAAATTAAATTAGTCCGAGTGGTATGCCGCACTATAAATGCGCGTTCGGCGACTAGCCGTTACCGCACGTTACACAATTCGAATTTACGAGAAAAATAACGAGATATTAATTTTTTAATCGATAATAACTATTAACGAAACTTAATGCACGATATCAAATTAAAAATGTTTGGACATTTTTTTCAAAATGGTACTTTTCAAAACCGATCTCGGTATAAAAATGATGGAAAACTTCGAATTCGGTACACCGAAGTCGCGCCGAACCGATCCTGTTAACAAGGTCAACGAATTTGAACCAGACTCCTGACTCGATGATGTTGTTGTGGGTGTGAGCCACGACTGTTCTCCCACCCCAGTGTATGGAGCTCCGCCCATTTCGTAGCCGCCTCCATGTACACGAAGACCGCGTCGCGTGTGCCGCCGGTACCCGACCGCCGACGTAAACCGAATAGTTCGACAAACCCGACTGGCGCTCTTGCGGTCTTGCGGAGCCTTTTGTGCACTTCAATAAACAAAGGTGCAACGTTCGTTGATCGCCTTGCATGGTGATCCCGTGAATTGTTCTTGAGACATCGATCGCTTCCGGATCAAGTCACAGATTTTATCTTGTCAAAATCCTTTTTGGTCATCTTAATATAAAGGTAAAGGTGTAGCAAACTGCATGCTATTCAGTTACACGCATATACGGTCTTTTTTTTCGTATAGGTACCTAAATAAAAATAACAATACCTATTATACGTATATATTTCGCGAAAAATCTGTAGACAGATAGAATATTTCTACAATAACTTTCTGATTTATTTCATTGTATAATAAAACCGTATGGTAAAAAAAAAAAATAACATTGCTTCGTTGGTTACATTATTCTAGAAAATATACCTATATATAACCTATGTGTATCTTAGATGCTGGGTTTGTCCCTTTTATCTTATTTTTATTCTTGTCGCTTGAAATTGATTTCTGACGTTTCCTCTTATGGCGTCTTTGCAAAACTATTATACTTGTCAATACTTACGACTCAGTATACTATATAATCCTTACAATATTGACAGATATGAATTACCTATACAGTACCTATACTGTAGGTATATTTGCAGGTACTTACCTACCAAAATATATGTTAGGAAGATTAATAGGGTAAATGTATTGTATCACACTATCATATAACAAAGTATACAGCAAGAAAATAATATTGTATGGGTAGATCAAAATCATATGAGCAGAACAAAAAATAAATTGAGTATAAATACTATGTAGATAGAAACTTATAATTGATAAGTCACAAATATTATTATTACATTTGATATTAATTATAGGTTATATTATATAGTGTACCTAGATTTTATAGGACATGAAATACATTTTAAAATTATAAAACTGTTAATTCATATTATAGGCACTTAATAATAAATCTTTATAAAAATTAATGTATTACAGTTAGCCATTTAAACTTTAAAATTAATTATTACAAAAAAATTAATTTTAAAATGGTTGTTATTATTAAATTAGTAAACAGATATTATGATTGTTAATCTATAATCTACACATTATACATTATGTGTACATTTTTTTTTTATAAATTAGAAAAATAATATTTAAAAACGTTATAAATAATAAACACAATAATTAATATAGAAACATTCAATAAGGTAATAAGACAGAACCACCTGAGTGATCAAAACAACATCTAAAACGGAGGTATAACTTATAAGATGTGTGTAATAAATATTTTTATTACTAAATATGACATAAGCTATTTATACCCAGTGACATGGAATTAAAATGGGATTTCTTAGAGGAATCTACTAGAACAACTGAAATACACATTTTTTAACAGTTTTTAAATGTGTAGCCTTATTATAGCCTATTTATTGTGAACATGCGCATACTTCTTACATTTTATTTAAACGGCAACACATATGTTCAATACTAGATGTAAATAGACTGAATTGATAAATCATTTTAATATTTTAAATTTAACTTTATAACCAAAACTTACTAATTTACGTTATAGATTATGAATATACATAAGACCTAAGACCTAAAGGTAATGTCAAAAATCATAAGTTTTCTTTTCTACTTCATAGTATTTATTAATTTAATCATAAATATAGTAGTGTGGCAAGTACACTTAAAAAGTGCACACTGCAAAGCATTTAGTGGTTTAATTTGACGGACTTGAAATTTATTTGAAATCAATTTTTAAAAGATCCAGAGAAAACTACTAATTTTGAATACACCATTACAGAAATTACTGCGATATACATTTTAATTTAAGTAAGTTATGAGCATTTTAAAGTTTTAATATTTTATATGGTTATAACTCAGTTTAAAATTAAAATATTAATAAAAGCCTGTGTGATGGCATAGATAAAATTTTTACCTTTAAGTTTGATAATAGATAAATTTATTCTGATATTAAAGCTAAATTAAAAAAAATTTATTACATAAAATGAATTCTGTTGAACGAAAATTTGCTATCTTGTATGTATATGTAAGATGGAGATAATATATTATGCGAGTGCGGCGTCTTCTTAATGATATAGATGCAAAAAAAAAAATACTAGTAAAAAATACACATATTTCATTCAAATATTTTAAAACCAATAGATATCTAAAATAATATAATGTATGATTTATTTATAGGCCATATTATATTTTAATAATAGGTATTGTATTATAAAACAAGCATAATTTCAATTTTTTATATATTTCAAACAAAGATGACCGATGTTGAATGGATGTATAAAAAGTAAAAATAATGGAAACAAATAAGGAGGCGTATTTAATGTATTGGAAGCCATACTGGATTTTTGCGTTAAAACATGTGCATACAAAGGGTGTATTTTTTATGTTTGAAAGAAAAAAATATAATAAAAAATGGCAAAATTTCGATCTTACTGTATTCTGTTCAAAACAAGTTGTGTGTTATTTATGATGACAGATAACTTCCGCAATTTTAAATTTACTGTTATTTCAAGATTTGTCCAGTTAAACAATATTATTTATATTATTTTCTCATCACCTCGTGTGTTAAATGAGCACTATAAAAATGAACCAGTAATATATAGTTTAAAATGTAGGAACTATATTCATATAATATATCATAAAAGTCCTAATAAGTCATCTTTACACCATATTATGATGGCTACAAAGTCTTTAAATAAGAGGCAGTATATGATTAAATATTTTGTCAAAATACCCGTATAAAATATTATTACCTTGATGAGATTCTTTCAATTCAATTTTAAAAAGGTCTAATAACCCTGCTTATATAATATTGTATTATCATTTAATTTATATTATTAATCACTCGCATGGTTATATCGTATATTATCGTTCGCGTACAGACATTTTATAAAACCAGTAAATGAATCATACTCCATAATATATCCCATATAGGTACGCTGTATATAAATTATTAACGACCAATTTCAAATGATATTACTTCAGATTTGTTGTATTAACTCGTGTACAGCGATATAAACTTTTATTATTTTCAAATTCTACACAGGTATACTATTTTATATTATGCATATAATACGTTAAGAGGACGTTATACCGATCATTTTCAGAAGTAAAGACATATCCACTCAAAATAAACAAAACAGCATTACGAATCGGTCGTAGAGTATTAGAACGTTTATTATGAAATATATATATATAACAATAATACGTATGTATGTAGGACCGCGTATAGGAGATGACTTCATCGGCATTTTTTTGAAACATATTAAGCGGGTAGGTATAAAAAGTTTCCGACGAGGTCGTCTCTGAAATATCGTTGCTCTAACAATATATATCGCACTACAGCTGATGTGTCTATACGCGCCCGCGGTATTCACAAACAGTAGTAGTCTACATAGTACAAGCCACTTGCGCACTGCAGTGGTAGGTATATAGCGGTATATAGTGGCGGTATTTGTAGACTCGCGCTCGCACACACATATACGCATGAGATGTACTCGCAACACGGTGCAGTTGTCTGTGAGAACAGAGTCGTACCCGTGGGATACCGTGACCGCCGATGTACTGCACGCACAGGTGCTCGCTATATTATAATGTTTCTATACCGTAGACCTTATATACATACGCTGCCTTGATATGACTTGGTATGAGGTCTATGGTTACCACACAGCACCCCTCCACATTTTACCTGTATCTCCGCGCAGATACATAATATTATGTACGTATATATATATATATATATATATATATGATGTACTCGTATATACGTGTATAATATATATTACAGTATATACATGCATGCGGTATAAACCGTACTGCAGGTATATACCTATTACACGCACGTACACGCGGTAGGTACTAACGTCCAGAAGAAACGTCGGTTTCTCACTGATGTTGTTATATATATTCCCCGACGACGGCAGCTGAATCTTCGTCTTTGACGTCGTCGTCGTCGTCGTCGCCGCTATGTGTATATATAGCTGCACAGCCGTCGTCTTTTTACAGCGCGCTCTCGCGCTCTCCTTCCTCCTCCGGGCGGTACAGGTGTGCCGCCCGGTATCATACCACTTGCCCATTGGAAGCTGGGCGTGGTCCAAAAGTTGCTCATCATAATCATCATCATCGTCGTCGTCATCATCATAATCATAATCGGCATCATCATCATTATCATAATCATCTTCGTCACCGTCATTTTCATGACCGTCGTCGTCAACTCTGCCGCCACCACTACGTAATAACGACCTGCAGAGAGGGTCTCTTCTACAAATATATTATACAATTTATACACTCATTCAAAGTAAAACTAGGTATACACTAATATATATACATATATATTAAAACGAATGAGCTAGAAAACAAATAACGTTTCTATCCACACCGATAAGTTATGGAATTTAGATGGTAATTGTTGCATTATTTTTACACTTCACCGAGAACTTTCGTCGGTTTGCCGTATACGTACTAGTGTACTACCTAGTACCTACACAGGCATTAGGTAGGTATACACAGGTTTACTCGGAAATAACATTAACTAGTTTCTTCGACTTACTTATATCACTAATCTTTTTCTAGTTTGTTAACAATAATTAACAATATGAATTTTAAATATATGACGAATGCAGTGTAGTAACATTTTTCTGCATCATAGACGATTCTGCTTGTTTAAACTTTATAAATGTATATAAAGTTTTAGATAAAATATTTTAATTTATTTATCATATATATATATATGTATATATATATTTATAAATATATAATGTTTATTACTTAAACCTTTTAGGGCCGTTCTTACAATGTCCGGTTAAGTGTATGTTAAAGAATTGGTAACTTAATGGCAACATTTTC